CTTTCTTTCATTGCGGACTTTCGTCATTCAAGATCTGTCCCATTAATTCGTTTCCACTTTCTCATTTTGACTTACTGATGTGACGGCACATGGTTTTTATGTTAGAAGTCTTAAAGAAATGACTTCTTGTCCAAGTTCTCCGAATCCATAAGCGTGAGGATTTCTTTTATTTCAGAGGCTCTTTTAAGTAATTCCCGCGACTGGACTTAGCTACCAAACAATGAAGCGGAACACATGCATGGAGTTTCAAATAAGGTAACACAGATAGTATATACTTTCGTGCCCGAATAATTCTTTCAGAATTCAGAATTTATCCTATTTGCCTGAAAATATGAATAAGTGCGTTTCCCCCTATGAACTTTAATATTCACGGAGTTCCGTACATAATTATTCGGGATAATCTGGTGAAATGTAATTAAATTTTAAAAACTAAATAGCGACAGCTTTTTAATGGCTTTTTAAACGACAGTTTTTTTTAAAGAATGGCATTAAGGTTTCGTCAGTCATTGATATATTGCATATTGTTTCTTGAAGCCATCACTCATCTTCCTGGCAGCTTCGTAATCTCATGCTTATTATTACAGAGCTTTGGTTTTTTTTTTTTTTTTTTTTTTTTTTTAAATTGAGAAACTGTAAAAACCCCTTGTTGGACATCATCGCACTTTTGATTAGTTTACCATTGCAAAGACTGAAACATATTGTAATCTGTTGTGGAGGCATAAGGTAAATGCGAGAGGAAATTTCCCAGTTGAAATCTTGGGCATTTTGAACTATATTATCATATCTAGCGCTGACTTGCTGAAGGACAGCTCCTCTTTCGTTGATCGACGGTGGATGCTTAATTAGCAATATTTGCTGTAACAATAATGGCAGTTGAATTTGGAATTGTAGCCTAATTCGTTTCCAAGAGTTCGGAATAGAAAATGCTTTTTATAATTCCCCATATACAAATTACGACTTTCTTTGGATGAAGATTAGGCTTAGTTGTTAGAAAAGACCTTTGATGAGCCACTATTTTGTGCGTTTTATGTCAGTTAAAGCATCCATCCTTTCGTTAATGATTATACAATCAACAAATATGTCAGCCTTCACCCGTATCAAAATAAAAAGGAAAATGGTCTAAATAATTCATTCTTAACGTTTCTATCAAAAATTCTTATTATGATTCAAGCTGCATCTGCTTAAACCCTTCACATAAAATCTGCATTGTTTCTTGTTGATTTATGCAAATAAAAATGACATTTTGAGCAGCTGTCTTTAAACAAACCCTTTTTAACTTATTCCTAAACAATACACCAAGTATGTTTCGCGAATGCTGTATGTACACGCATTCGCGAAACATACTTTGTGTTGTTTAGGAATAAGTTTATCTGTCCATTTTAATACAAAGGTGAATTAAATGCTTTGAGTTTTCTAATAAATGCGTAAAATGTTTTAGTTTGAAGCTTAGCTATTTAGTTATCATTTTAAAAGATTTTCTGGCATCGATACAACTATTGCTAAAATTTAAGTGACATATTCTTTGCTCTTTAGAGAAGCAAATATGAAAACAATTCTATTCTAAATTTAAAATTTGGCTAATTAATTATTTACTGATTTTTATTGTATAATTTACTTACGGATATACATAACTTAAGCTATAGAGTAATTAGTTTTTTTTTTTTTTTTTTTTTTTTTTTTTTTCGTTTTTTAGTCCAAAGAGGCTTTGTCCCTGAAAGACTATTGTTTTCGTTTTACGATTTTGCGTTGAATCATTATAAATGTCCGTTTCACTTTTCAAACTGTTGCCACCAAATGTTCGAGTCCTTCATTATGTTTGAAGAAATTAAATAGTGATAAAACTGCATGAATGTCTGTATGTTTCTCACTGTGAAAAAATAATGGTACCTAGAGCCATCGAATTTTGAATGACGTAATCTTCCATAGAATATGGGCATGTAGAAGCCCTGATTTGAATTTAAAATTTGTTTTATTATCGATTTCGTTTTATTAACTTTCTTTCTTTTTGTAAAACTTCAAAGAATTTTCGGTTAACAAACTCGACGATTTCAAAGCGAGCAATAGCAACACTCTACGGGGGGGAGGGGGGACTTTTTATGTCCAGCGCGCGAAACTGTGTATCGGAAATTCTAAAGATATGCTCCTTTTAAAATTATTTTGCAACATTGCTATTGAGCTGAATTTCATGGTTTAAGTGCAAAGAACATGATATTCAATAATTACAACGAATTGCCAAGGGAATGATACAATGAAATTTATCACTGATGCTAATGCGCTACTTTTCTTTTCTTTACAAAAATACGATATGAGTTTTTGTGCATCTTCAGTTGTTTTTTGTCACGCTTTCTCCTCGTGCATTTTATTTTTATTTATTTATTTTAATTTTTCTTTCTTTCTTTCATTGCGGACTTTCGTCATTCAAGATCTGTCCCATTAATTCGTTTCCACTTTCTCATTTTGACTTACTGATGTGACGGCACATGGTTTTTATGTTAGAAGTCTTAAAGAAATGACTTCTTGTCCAAGTTCTCCGAATCCATAAGCGTGAGGATTTCTTTTATTTCAGAGGCTCTTTTAAGTAATTCCCGCGACTGGACTTAGCTACCAAACAATGAAGCGGAACACATGCATGGAGTTTCAAATAAGGTAACACAGATAGTATATACTTTCGTGCCCGAATAATTCTTTCAGAATTCAGAATTTATCCTATTTGCCTGAAAATATGAATAAGTGCGTTTCCCCCTATGAACTTTAATATTCACGGAGTTCCGTACATAATTATTCGGGATAATCTGGTGAAATGTAATTAAATTTTAAAAACTAAATAGCGACAGCTTTTTAATGGCTTTTTAAACGACAGTTTTTTTTAAAGAATGGCATTAAGGTTTCGTCAGTCATTGATATATTGCATATTGTTTCTTGAAGCTATCACTTATCTTCCTGGCAGCTTCGTAATCTCATGCTTATTATTACAGAGCTTTGGTTTTTTTTTAAAATTGAAAAACCCTTGTTGGACATCATCGCACTTTGATTAGTTTACCATTGCAAAGACTGAAACATATTGTAATCTGTTGTGGAGGCATCAGGTAAATGCGAGAGGAAATCTCCCAGTTGAAATCTTGGGCATTTTGAACTATATTATCATATCTAGCGCTGACTTGCTGAAGGACAGCTCCTCTTTCGTTGATCGACGGTGGATGCTTAATTAGCAATATTTGCTGTAACAATAATGGCAGTTGAATTTGGAATTGTAGCCTAATTCGTTTCCAAGAGTTCGGAATAGAAAATGCTTTTTTATAATTCCCCATATACAAATTACGACTTTCTTTGGATGAAGATTAGGCTTAGTTGTTAGAAAAGACCTTTGATGAGCCACTATTTTGTGCGTTTTATGTCAGTTAAAGCATCCATCCTTTCGTTAATGATTATACAATCAACAAATATGTCAGCCTTCACCCGTATCAAAATAAAAAGGAAAATGGTCTAAATAATTCATTCTTAACGTTTCTATCAAAAATTCTTATTATGATTCAAGCTGCATCTGCTTAAACCCTTCACATAAAATCTGCATTGTTTCTTGTTGATTTATGCAAATAAAAATGACATTTTGAGCAGCTGTCTTTAAACAAACCTTTTTAACTTATTCCTAAACAATACACCAAGTATGTTTCGCGAATGCTGTATGTACACGCATTCGCGAAACATACTTTGTGTTGTTTAGGAATAAGTTTATCTGTCCATTTTAATACAAAGGTGAATGAAATGCTTTGAGTTTTCCAATAAATGCGAAAATGTTTTAGTTTGAAGCTTAGATATTTAGTTATCATTTTAAAAGATTTTCTAGCATCGATACAACTATTGCTAAAATTTAAGTGACATATTCTTTGCTCTTTAGAGAAGCAAATATGAAAACAATTCTATTCTAAATTTAAAATTTGGCTAATTAATTATTTACTGATTTTTATTGTATAATTTACTTACGGATATACATAACTTAAGCTATAGAGTAATTAGTTTTTTTTTTTTTTTTTTTTTTTTCGTTTTTTAGTCCAAAGAGGCTTTGTCCCTGAAAGACTATTGTTTTCGTTTTACGATTTTGCGTTGAATCACTATAAATGTCCGTTTCACTTTTCAAACTGTTGCCACCAAATGTTCGAGTCCTTCATTATGTTTGAAGAAATTAAATAGTGATAAAACTGCATGAATGTCTGTATGTTTCTCACTGTGAAAAAATAATGGTACCTAGAGCCATCGAATTTTGAATGACGTAATCTTCCATAGAATATGGGCATGTAGAAGCCCTGATTTGAATTTAAAATTTGTTTTATTATCGATTTCGTTTTATTAACTTTCTTTCTTTTTGTAAAACTTCAAAGAATTTTCGGTTAACAAACTCGACAATTTCAAAGCGAGCAATAGCAACACTCTACGGGGGGAGGGGGGGACTTTTTATGTCCAGCGCGCGAAACTGTGTATCGGAAACTCTAAAGATATGCTCCTTTTAAAATTATTTTGCGACATTGCTATTGAGCTGAATTTCATGGTTTAAGTACAAAGAACATGATATTCAATAAATAAGAGTAACATACAAAACGTTAAAAAAACGCCCCTTTGGACGTAATTTTAAAATCTGAAACCTTTCAGATTTTTTTGTTATCTTTTTTCTTCTTCTTCTTCTTCTTCTTTTTTCTAAATGCAGGAGACGTGAAAAATTTGCAGTGCCGTCTCTGGGACTCGAGACCTGGATCTCTCGAATTCGCGTCGAGTACCCTGCCAATTACATCACGAAGGCATGGGAAAAGGGGGCAGAAAATATCTTACAAACCTTCTTAAATACAATACTTTGAAGACATGTATCTATTTGAATACAATACATGTAATAGAAAAATTGTATAAATTCCTCCTCTACCTTTTATCTGCATTTTTGAAAGTAAAAATGTGGCTGAAATTATATACAGAAATGTACTGATGTTTAAAAAAACAGATGAAAGAACATGATATAAATTTGGTACTTCTTTTTATTAATGTCTCTTGTTTTTACAAAATGAAGCAATGGATGAAACTATATACAGAACACATACCGACGTAGCTTCAGTACAAAATGTCTCTATATACATTCAACGCTATTCCACGAAATCGCAATAAACTGAAATAAAACAGAAAAGAAAATGCCATAAATAACAAATAAATATAAAAAAAAAATAAGTATACAAATAAAAATAAACTATTTTTGAAAAATAAAATATAATAAAATAAATAAAATCGTTAGCCAATGTCTTATTTTGACAACCGGATGACTTTAAATTAAAGTTCTTAAATAACATAATCTTTTATTTTGATCCTGATTACTTTTGCTTGTAAAGATTTAAAACAAAATCAATTCTTACTATGATTCAGGTAACCTCTACTTAAAAGTCTTTAAATTTTATTTTCATTTAGACTACTTCTGCTTAAATTCTTCAAAAACTGAATTACTTTTTGTCGTTGTTGTTGATATCGGCTCATTATGCTTAAGGTCTTTATTCAAAATTAATTCTTATTTTGATGCAGCTGCTTATGCTTTAATTTCTTTAATCTAAATCCTTATTTTGATTCAGACTGCTTTTGCTTGAAGACTTTAATGATTTTCCATTTTGATCCAGATTACTTCTGCGAGTAAAGACTTTAATAGAAGCAATTTTTATTTTGATCCAGGTTAACTCTACTTAGCGTCTTTCAGGAAAATTAAATTTTCTTTTGATCTAGGCTGCTTCTGCCGGAAGCCTTTTACCAAAATCGATTATTTCTTGCTTCGATTCAAATACTCCTGAAAACACGTTACAATTATCCAGCAAACAACTACGATATAAAATAAGCATTTTCAAAATTTTAAATAAATTTGAAGTTAATAGAAAAGAGAAATATGCCAAATATGCCAACTTCGATTCAAATACTCCTAAAAACACGTTACAATTATCCAGCAAACAACTACGTTATAAAATAAGCATTTTCAAAATTTTAAATAAATTTGAAGTTAATAGAAAAGAGAAATATGCCAAAGTAAAACTTACAATTAGGCAAAAATGCACCTTATGTTTGACGTAAATATTTATCAAAACTTTTGTCGACTTTGAGGGCAATCAGGAACTCGTCAGAAGAAAACAAAATTCTGCAAATTGTTTTAATGTGTGCTAAACATACGGTTATTTAAATATAAATATTTTAAATATAAATTTTAAATATGAAGTTTACTTATTTTTCTGTCAACTGAAGAATCGTAAAGCGCACATAAAACTATTTAAAACATACTGCAAACAAATACTTAAATCTTCATAACTAAATAAATATTAAAATCAAATTTATTCAAAAAACTGATATTATTTTTGTTATTCATGAGATTATCTATTATCAAAGAAATAATATACAACTGTTATATTAAGAAAAATTTTACATAATTATGCTAATATACAGAATTATGTTAATCATAATTCTACGTTAAATGAATAATAGAGAACTATTATTAAAATAATAACTCTATATTAATTATTTAAAGTTCTATATTAATGTAATCGTCAGTAGAAATTCTACATAATTGTTACTAACAATTGCATGTTTTACTTAAAACCAATCATATATAATTATTAAATTAATTTTATATTATAATTAATGTAAACCTGTTATTCACATAATTAATTCTGTAGTAATTATATTACAGTAAATGGTGTAATCACTATCATTTAAAATTATTTTAGTCCAGTACTTTATTCCCTAAGCTGTTCATAAAACATCGCAAAGGATAATTTCTTTTAGTTACGATATTCGACCAATAATTTCACTTATATAAAATGTAAAATTTTATTAAAAAGACATTGTGGCAATTCGAGTAAACTGGGATATATAAACAAAGATCTAAGTTTTTATATATTCCCTGTAAAGTAAAACCTGTGATAAGAAACTATTCGTTTTATTCATTTAAAAACAAAGTTGACAATACCTTTATACGCATAAAATTTGCTCGGATATGCTTAGTTAACTGTAGAAAAATTAAAATAGTCAGTTACGAAATAAATAACAAATGCTATTTAAATTAAGACAGATCTATTAATTGCCTAAACGAGCTACTCCAGTTTTACAGATGTTTCTTAAATCTGTTTCTAAAAATCTTGAGTTAAAAGCGGAAATATGCACCAAAATAATTAAGTGATTATTCATTAACTATTCATTGTCAGTTATCTCAAAGTTGCATTGTGTTTTCAGCTAATTCAATAATAACAAATATTTGACACTTCCATGTGGTTACAACCCACCCAACACATTACATTAAACACACTGAAAGTCATCATCATCTTATTTTGAACACAAAGTGACATATTTTGCATACGTGCAAAGGTTACGGCAACCACAGTAGGCGGTAAATATTACTGTTTCAATTTAACAACGGTTTAATTTTGACTCCAATCCTAGTGTTATAACGAGAGAGCACTGTGTATCGGAATTCTAGAATTGCAATATTTTCCCCTTTGCTGTCTGCGGCAGAAATAATTTAAATTTTAATGAGTGTTAGCAGCAGCTATTTTTAAATTGGAGCCAAATATGTTATTTATATTACGTAAACAACTGATTACAACAGCTCACGGAAAAAAGGTTTTTTTAGTTAGTTTTGAGGTTCAATGTTTCTGTTTGAGCAGCTTTTTAGAAAGAATATATTTTAGAGCGATGTAATTCCACTCATGCCGCAGAGCTAACGTGAGAACTGTCACGCCATGGACGCTTCGACAAGAACTGTCACGACATGAGCGCATGTGACAGCTGACGAAATATTTGTTTTGAGTTAATGATCAATAGACACCAAGACAGGCACACAGGAAGGAATAGTAATTCAGATTATTAATGTGCCATTTACGAAAAGCTATAAATTTTAGGAATAGGAGATAAACTGCCAGTGATTTCTCATTGCTATTAATAAAATATTTTTTACTCCCACTACCTCATTTTTCAGTGAGTGTACGAAATTAGAAACATTTAACAGATTAGACATTTAAATACTCAGGAACAGAATAACTTTAAGCTACGCTTATTTTCCAAAGAGCGTAGGTTTGAACTTATTCTCTTATTCAGAATCGGTTAATTCCATCGGCCCTACATTTTTTTTTTCCTACTTTAAATTAGATCCCCTGACTTTTGCATTATGCTTTTCCCAATGTTTTATAAACAATTCAGATATAAAATGGACCATTTTGGTGACGTCTTCTGTTGGTATTGTATGTGCGACGTTTTCCATTTCTTTATCAGAAAACCTCTTTCCGCGTAACTGCATATTCAGCATCGACAATGCGCAGAAATCACATGTTTCTAATAGCTTACGCATAATATCAGGTCTGTTGTCCTCACAGAGCGCAGAGTTTAGGCTAGAGGCACAATAGTTTAGTCTTTATAGATTGATTTCAAGGTAGTATTGCCAAACGTCATCGCAGCAACATACACCCAATCCTGGAGAAAAACCATTGTTTTCTGAGCAGATATAATTTGTTCTTTCTCACAGTTCTAGCGAAGTGGTTTTTAAGAAATTCTTATGACAGTCATAGTTCAATATCTGCTTAGAAATGAAATCACATACTGTATCTACCTCTAACAAGAATATTTTAATATTCATAAATCAATTTCAAAGTGCTTCCGGTGTCATAGCAGCAACATGTAATCGAAATCTAGAAAAATAAAAAATATTTCTTCTCATGGTTCCAAGCAAATGATTTATGAGCTGTATGCAAAATATTCCAATACTAAAAGACCGATTTCGAACTGCATTACTAAAGTCCCAGAAGAAAGTGAGATAATTAGTCTGGAGCAGCACAAAGAATTATGATACAATACATATATATATGTATATATCGTGTTACGACTAAAAGCCTTTTCAAATTTCTCGAGAGTATTTCGGCTCGCCGGATTTCGGTTTTGAATGCCCCCTCGCCGCACAGAGACAATATGTTTACAAAAATCCATGCCTCCTGTGGGGTTCGAACCTGGGCGGCCCTTTGGTACGGCAGTCAGCGTATTCGAAAGGACACTCTCCTTTATATATATATAGACTTGGAAACAAGTTAGATATCAATAGTGATTTGTTTATCCATAATGCTACGGGCAATGTCTATTGCAATTTTATGCGGTGACAAAGAAGGTATTTTATTTAAAATATTTTAATCTTTTGAAATATAAAGTAACTATAGCAAATAGAATATAAAGGTTATCGAAATTTATATACAAAATTTATTGATGATAACCCACTTAGTTATAAAGATAATGAACTTCAAAATATGTTACAATTTTTCACATATTTTAACATTTTAAAAGTATTTGAGGCCATTAACTAAAAATGCAGATTTCAATTCAATACCGCCCAAATTTTAAAACTTGCAGAATCTTCTTGGAAAGAGAAAAATTAATGCCATTTCGATAATTTTCAAAGCGCATTGAAAGATGCTAACGGTATTAAAATGTGAATGAAAAGTAGGAAACATACCACGCCCACATCTATTTCTTGAACTTAGTCAGGCCAATATAGTCCCAATCGCACATTTCTATGCAGAAGTTTGAATATAAATAATAATTTGCTCGTAGGAAGCGTGGACACATTTTTAAATGATGTATTTATGAAGTAAAGTTCAATCCGATATTTCCATTTGAATCATAAAAGGTGTATTCATATCCAGACCTATTAGTCTTTTCAGACAGCCTTTGAATCATTTGCTATTTTAAAGACAAGTCTTTGACGTATTAAAGGTTATCAAATTATTCCATTACTGCTTTAACAAAACTGCGTCGACTTCAATAACCACATTCTGCTCAGGTGAATAGAATAATGCTTATTTGAATTCAATATGATGCTTATTTAAACTAATGCCTTCTCTATTCATTTTGTTCTTGGACTCTATTTAAATTAACAATAACAGACTTGAAGGAAAATTTAAGTACAAATATATCCAAGACTTAATATACAAATTTGGAGTACTCAGGTAAAATTTGTTATGCATTTCCCCTTTTAATTTTTTTAAATGTCAATAGTGCGGAATGTATTTAATGTAAAGTATATTTCATTCAGACAGGAGGTGCGCATTTTTTTAAATAGAACAGGAACGTTCAAAGAATGTTCTATGTGGGTGTTTCAAAACC